TCCGTGCGCCCAAAAACGTGACCGAAAAATTGTATCCATACATACATTCACACACACACACACACATCCATTTTTTCTGAGGTATGCCAAAATGTTCAGAAACCTTCAAAACGTCGAGAAATTTAAAAATTTTCAATTTCGATTTTCGGCCCATTAAAATAACTTACCCTACGGGAAGTTAAAAATAGATTCCTTTATTGTAGCAATACAGAATAAATTAAATATAAAATTACAAATATATTTTCAATAAATAGTTTTCAAAATAAACTAAATACATTTGGGCATAACTTTTTTGGAGTTATTGTGAAATTTTGGGCGGAAAAGTCCCGGATTTCCACCTTGTGTCCCGAGATTTTCGAAAAGCAATATCTGTCCCGGATTTAGATCCTTTATCCCTAATTTTCAAAAATTATAGGTTTAAATTAAATTTTCGCAATTACTTGATAATAAGGATAACTTGATAATAACTTCACTTCTCTTTATTATTTTTATTTTGTCGTTCAATTGCTTGCGGTCATATATATTTTAACAAAATAATAAAAATATATAATTTTTATTAACTACAACTTTATAAATAGATAAATTCACCCACAAATCGATTTGACTCGGTAATAATACTCAGAATAAATGTATTTGCATAATTAATAATACAATAAAAATTATAAACTAGCACTTACCGATACGAGCTTAGAAAAAACAGCAAAAGGCTTTTGCCACATCTGAAATAAAAAATTTAAATTAAATAATTAGCATCAGAAACATTTATGCAATATTGATAAAATTTATTTTTATCAATAAGAAATAAGCATGACATCGACCTCCAGAAACAATGTATTCTGATTGTCTAATCAAATAAATAAATTAAAACATCTTTGTTCAAATATCGAAAAAAAATCGAAATAGTCATATAGAAGAATAATGATTCTCATATTTGCAGATATTTGTGAGTAGTGTATTATTAGACATAAAAAATGTAAATAACATTTTTAGACTCTTATTTTCTCAAAAACTGGCATTTTTGCACATTTAGCTCGGTATCTTCGAAATAGCTGGGCCTTTCTTTGCCAAAAACTAATAACCACTTCTCCCAATCAGTACTAATTGAATGTTTTTTAGATAATTCAAATCGGATGCTCCGTTCTCTCAAAAACTCGGTTTCTATTTTTTGCACTCTTTGCTCTTTATCTCCATAAGTGCTGGACCTGCCTTTGCCAAAAACTTATCAGCACAACTCACTATCAATAGGAATCGAATGTTTTTTGAACCATTCTAATCGGCTGATCCGTGCGCCCGAAAACGTGGACGAAAAATTGTATCCATACATACACACACACATCCATTTTTTCTGAGGTATGCCAAAATGTTCAGAAACCTTCAAAACGTCGAGAAATGCAATCATTTTCAATTTTGATTTTTGGACGATTGCAATAACTTACCTTACGGGATTTAAAAAAATAAAAAAATCATTAATATAATTATAAGTAAAAAGAGCTTATATATAAAAAATAAATCATGTAATACAAGGCTATATATTAAAATAAATTAATATACCACAAAAATATATTTTTTACACTTTTTTAATAATTTTGCTCTTGCAAAAATGTGAGGACATAACAATAATTGGATAATCTCCTGATTTTTTTCATTTTTTTCATACTACTAATGTATGAGGCCAATTCTAGGATAAAATAGAAATGTTTTGGCAATGCTATGTTACGGGTCTATCTTCATATGAATTGGTAGTAAAAACTGTTAAAGAGTTAACTTCACGTTTGGGTTATCAATCAGAAAAATCAGAAAAATGCACGTGTGATAAAATTGTTATTTGTGGTTGCGCATTTTGTAGGTTAGGTTTTATGTGTGAAATGCCTGATCGCACAGTAAATACATAACTTTTTGACAGTTTTTAATACTAATTCATATAAATATAGAACCGTAACTTCTAAATTTTCTATTTCTATTTTGTCCGAGAATCGGCCCCTCTTTCCAGTTATTTCAATAAAAGTATGAACCAAGCATTACAAATTTACTACATCGTCCACTTAGACATTTTTTTGCATTCAACGATTATGTATATTTTATGTCAATGTCTAATATAATCCAGTTTACTACGAACCTATCCCACCAATTTTTGTTACAGGCAATTACTGACTACTACTACCACTACTACTACTACTACTCGAATGTTGTTTTTATTGATTCAATATTTATTAGGTTTTTCCGCAGTTAGTTATCAATAGAAATAGATTGAAAAATATAAACGATACGGTTTAAAATTGAGATGTAGATGGAACAGGGGATTTTTGCTGGAATTTCTGTAAAGTCATAAAATTCATACTGCGGATGGGAATTGTACGAATTCCGTTTTGTGGTCGGAGGAGATATATGAATTTATCAAACGATTGTTGATTTAATAAAATTGAGATTCTATTCTATTTTATGTAACAAATTATTTATTAAATAGAATCACTAGTACACTGAGCCATATGCAATTGCAGCATATGGAAAGTTTGTAAATTTTTACAAATATATGGATTTTTTGTGAAATTATTTTATGCTTCTTTTTATATAATTTAATTTGACTTATATTATAAAATCATTGAAGAAATTTTAAAATGTTTGGTATCCAAATAACACATTTCCCTTGAAAAAACTCATATCTAAAAATGATCAAATTTAAAAATAAAGCAACACAGGGACATACTAATTATATGAGGTTTAAAAGGCAGGGTGAGTTTTGAAAAAAAAATCAGGTATCCTAGTGGGTTCTAGTGAGATTTTATTTATATTTTTAATTGAATTTAAAAAAATCCAAATTTTCTCAAAAAAAGACAAAAATTGTATGATTATTCCTGGGTACTTATAAGTATACCTAATATTGGCTGAAGGAGAGGAGTTAATTACAATTATCAGCAAAGGGAAAGGGAGATCCAAAATTTCTTAAAAATCAATCACGTGATTAATTGACGACCTCTTAGTAGAAGATTTCTCAAAAAAAAAAAAAAATTATACGATTTTTTCTAGGCACTGAAAATAAACTCAATATTGGCTGGAGTAGAGGAGTTAATTTTAAATATCAGCAAAGGGGAAGGGAGATCCAAAATTTCATAAAAATCGATCACATGATTAATTGACGACCCCTTCGTAGAAGTTCTCAAAAAAACAATAATTGTACGATTTTTTCTAGGTACTGAAAATATACCTAATATCGGCTGGAGCAGAGGAGTTAATTTCAAATATCAAAGGAGAGTAGAGACCCAAAATTTCCTAAAAATCGATCACGTGATTAATTGACGGCCCTTTAGTAAAAGAGATCTCAAAAAAAATCCAAAAATTGTACGATTATTTCTAGGTCCTGAAAATATATCAGCAAATATATCAGCAAAATAATATATATAAATATAATATAGGCTGTAAGAGAGGGGTTAATTTCAAATATCAGCCGACCACTTAGTAGAAGAGTTATGTCTATATACCTACATATATATATATATATATATATATATATATATATATATATATATATATATATATACATATATACATATAAAAAGTACTTGTCACGATGTTTGTCCTGAACAGTCTCCTAAACTACTGAACCGATTTTTAATTTTATTGGCTTATTGTGTGCATTTGTATCCAACTTAGGTTATAGACAATAATAATTATCTTAGATTATAGTCAGAATAATAAAATTCCAAAAAATTCTATTAATTTTGACAGCTATGAAATAATATGTATAATTTCAAGAAAACACTGAAAAATGACAATTGTCAAAGTTTCTGAAAACTGAATATATTAGATTTGCTTACCCTGTTTCTAATTTGAAATAAATGAAAAATAAAGGAAAGGCAAATGACAAAAACCAGATATTTATGAAAACATTCCAAACAATATAATTACTAATTTTATATACTCATAAAAACATAATTACTAATTTACAAATAATACTCCTCAATGTCTTATGTGACAATAATATTTTATTGCATATACACTTCCAATCATGTAAAAATATTTGTTCTAAATTTTTCAAGATAATTATCACATTTAACATTGAAAAATAATTGTGTTACGATTCTGAATTACCAGATCGACCTAAATTTATAATTGCTTACTGTTCTAGAACTCGTTATTATAAAAGGTAATGACACTAAACAAATTATGCTATTAATTCTGCCTGATACAAGGTTAAATTAAATCAGTTAATTATAATTCTAGACATGTGATTGCTTGGGTCTACATTTTTAGGAATACATAGATATTAATTTTTATAATTTTTGTTATACAATTTGGAAAAAGATTGGTGCTCGAGTTGATTAAAATTAATGTTTACCTTAATTTTTTCATAAATAAAATAATACACGAATACACGAAATATTCACGAATTTTATAGGAATAATAGAAAAAAGAGTCCGAACTGTTTTCACTTTTGAACTTGAGGGTAAGATGAACCTAATTCCAAAATTTTGTGCAAATTGGAGCACAGTAAAATAATTCAGACCAAAAACGCTCCATTGACTGGAGTAGTTATATAAATTATTTATTCGAATATTTTTAATGGTCGAGTCAGTAATTCCTATATGAGAAATTCTATCCGTTTTAAATATTTTCTTAAGGCGGATTTGTTGAAAATATAAATTTATTGGAAAATAGATCAAATAATTTTTATTACACTTTATATTAAGTGTTATTTAAAATAATTGTTATTGATTTCATTCCTTAAATGAGAAAGCATTTATTTCTTCATTTTAGCTACCTTATGAAGATAATAAGTTGAACCGATTTGGTTGAACTAAAAATACAGGATTTTAATTTTTAGTTCTAATTAAAATAGTTATATATGTTTTACTCTATTTCCAATTTATTCCACAATAATACAACATCTTAATAAATAATACATATATTATACACCAATAATTTTCTTTGCTTTGCCAAGCCACAAATTTTGCAACCCAATATTATATATAATATATTATTTGAAACAATTGTTTAATTTTTTCTTAACAATAATAGTCATCATAATAACCATATCCTCCATACATTGGATAAGGGTCGTAATATGCGGGATAATATGGTCCTGGAGGATACCTTGGCGGAAATTTTGGATGGTGTTTTCCATCTAAAAAATATAATATAGACTCAATTTATATCCAAAATAAATATTTATAAAATGAGCATCTAATAAAGACTCAATGTATTTCTACTATGTACTATTCCATATGGAACATCAGCAAATTTTTGGTTATTATGGTTTATTTATAAAATAATTAGTTAAATAATTTTGGAAACAACTAATTTCTGACCAAAAGTAAAGAATTTCATGAGCACTGTTTTTTACATCAATAAAGTTCATTTGCTCTAATAATTACAGTATATTTTTATATCAATTTTATTATTTTTCTGCTTTATTTTTTCTGAATTAATTGTAAATATATTAGCAATTCCAGTTTCTCTCAGCAATTGCAATAAATGAATAATCTAAATTAATGCAAAAACACGCAAAAGCTTTTAAAATCACATTATAAATATAAAATAATTTCATATGCACATTTCTATATAAAAGTAATGTGATCTCAAAAGGTCAATTAGATTTGCATTCTGTTTTTTATGTTAATTATATTATTAGTACGATTAAATAATTATTTTATATTGATATTATAACATTTAGTAATTAGGTGTATAAATGCATAACGGTTTATAGAGTATTTACAATTTTAAAAAAAAATGCAAAAGAAATCATACATTGTATAGAATTTTTCAGGTATAAACAAATCGCATAAATAATGAGGAAATGAGCTAATTTAGTGTATTTTTTAAAATTGATTAGTTTGAGTATATATACTTGTTTTATGATAAACTGATTTATTAGTTTTTTTCTTGAATTATTTTTACCAGCAATCCTCGGATCGATTCTTGGCAACAAGATAAAATTTGAAATGTTCAGTTAGAATTTTTGCAAAGAAAATGTATTGCTTTTTGATCCACACAATTTGGCCAATTATTTTAAAAATTAATTAACTACGTTTAAAGAAAATTAAAGTATGAAATAGTGAGTCATGTTAATTTTATCTTTCAGTTTTTGCAATTTGCTTTAAATCAAAACGCCACTTACAACTAGTATAATTAATTTAATTATTAATTATTTTATTAATTTTTTTTATACTTACACATTGCAACCGACAAATGTACTGCAACCAAACACAAGAACACAATTGCCAAATATTTCATTTTTACCAAAATAAATAAAAATTCTGGATATATTTTTATTAAGAAAAATCAAGCAAGTATGAATTTTCAAACATCAGATCTCATATTTTATACCAAAAGTCAAAGCAAATAATTTTGGTAATTTGAATAGATAATGCTTTTCGAACAAAAGATCACAAATTGAAGATTTTGTATGTAGAACAATATAATTAATTGTGAATGAATATATTATTGTTTATATTTGTTTTGAATTAAAATAACAAATACAGACAGTTTTTACAAAGAACAAAATTATATTTTTTCATTATGACAAACACAATACTAAATTTTTAATAAAGCGGCTCTGTAAAATACATTTTTAATTTATATATTTGCACAAAATATAATATTTTGCAAGCAGTTCGTTATATGTGCTTATTAATTTAATTAATTTCTTTATTAATTAATTATTCATTAAATCCAATAAATAAATTATTTATTTATTTATTTATTCATTATTTATTTAATTTATTAGTTATTTAAGTATTTGATGTACGGATATCATAAATCAACTACATATTATAATCTATCTTATTCACCAAAATTTTTGTAAATTTGAAAAAAACTATATATAGCTTTATTATTGATTAAATCGATTATTTAAACATGTCAAAAAGCTTATGCAACTTGCCTTAAGGCCAAATACTACTAACACTTAATTTAATAATGACATAAAAATTAAAATATTTGAGTTAAGGCTATACTATACCAAATAAAATTTATATAAATTTTAATACAAAATATTTGAAATAAATTTGTAATTTTAAATTGGAATGAAGTGAAAATTTGAAAATAAAATTAAATTGATGAATAAAATCAACATTTTTTCTCAAAGGGTGTCTTTATGATATTGTACACTAATCTTATAGTCATATTTATTAATTATTATTTTAATTTTTAATAATTTGTTATATTTTTATTTCAAGTCTTAATGACATTTTTTTCGCATTCTTCGACGTCCACCATGGATATGCCTGTCTGTAAAATGAAGATTTGTGTGAAAATATAACATAAAATTATAAATAAATTATTTTATTATTGTCTTAAAATATATTTAAAACGGGATTATTTATATAAAAATTTTAAGCAAAATTGTAGAGCAAAAAGAGTTGAAACAAAAAAATTGAATAGAGTAAATACAATATTTTTTTAGATTTCTAAATTTAATAAAATAATGCAAATTTTTGTTATTAATTATTTAATAAAACTGTTTCCGAGATCTAAGTTATTAAAAAATCATCGAAAAATAAGTTTGTTGGCAAATTGGTTTTTAAAAATTCGAGATGTTAAAACACAAAATGTGTTGAATAAATAATAGTAAATTTCATAAGGCACAATGCCACGTACAACTAAGAAATATTATATAATTCAAAGTAAATATAGAAATATAAATATATTAAATATTACAAATTTTTATAATATAATATATTATAATAAATAAATTATATTTATACTAACTAGCCAAAGCTGCCATCAGCACCAAAATTATAAAAAATTGCTTCACGATGTTCATAAAGCAAAAATTTTAAATTTTAAAATCTTAAACCAAAGTTACTTCGAACTAGATAAAAATAAAATGCAAAAATTACACTTTCATTTCTGATTAATTTATTAAAGCTCACTGATAATAAAAAAATTGATTAAATTAAAAATTTCACATATTAAAATAAACAGAAATTATATTAACCATAGATTTTTCCATACGCCGCAAAAAAAAGCAGCTGAGCTAATATTTACTGTCTGTGTTTGCAAATTTTACTATTTTGTTAGATATAAAATATTTACTCTTTTCTTTACTATGCTAATAATTAATCAAATTTACTATTTGATTTAGATTTTTGTAGTTAGTTAAACATATAGTGTAATTATACTGGGATTTATTCAAAATTTAAATATAGTAAGGGATAATTTAATAGTCTAATAAATCTAATTTATCAGATGGTTATACTAAAAAAAATAGTAAAAGTTATTATTATATAAATATAACATTACAAATTATTTTAATATGTTTAATAAAAATATGCAAGGGTATAAATGCACAAATATGTTTGGGCATCTAATTATTAATCCACTATTTTTCTTATTTTTTCTTAAAAAACAATCAGAGTCAAAATGACTCTATGAGTTAAACAGCTGATATAATCAGGAAACTCTAATTGAAATATTTTAGAAAAACAAAAATAGAAATAAACAACTATTTAAAGATAAATTTAATTATTTTAAAATATTAAAGTTAAATTTTAAAATTTTTAAAATTAATCTTAATTAAATAATAAAAATTAAATTAAGATATTTAATAAAATAATATTCTCACAGAACTTCTCACATTGTATGTTCTAGTGATCGCAAAAAAATCGAAAATATTTTTGTATACTATTTTTATGTATTTTCACGTTTCAAGACCTGCTAAACATTTTAGCAAACCTTAAAACAATGGATGTATGTAAGTGTATACGGATACAAATATTTGTCGACGATTTCGTGAGCAGGGATCAACCGATTCGAATGATTCCTATTGATGAGAAAAAAAGTTCTGATCATTTTTTATCAAAAAGTACCTACGATTTTGAGTTATACTTCATATAACACAAATATTAGCTTTATATAAAATTATGAATACACATTCGAATTCATAAATTTATAACAGTTATTTCAATAAAAAAAGCATTCTGACATCTTACCAAGATTTGATGAAATATTATGAATGTCAGATTCAAACCACAAGATTCTGAATTTACAAGTATTTTTTGCAGATGGCAGAGTATTGATACTACTTATACAAATATATAATAATAATAATAAAAACTAGTTGGAAGTAGCATTTTGCCTTAAGGTAAGTTGCATGAACTATACATGGTCAACTTAAACAAAACCGAAAAAATACGTTAGGTTTTTTCTATTTTTACAGCGTGTTCACTTCAGAGGGAATCTACCTTGTAGTTTTCAGCATCTCTAATTTTTTAAATATATTTTTGTTTTTTGCCATTGATTCACCAACAGTTGTTGAAAGCAATTTTTTGTCAATGTTCAAGACTGAATGATAATTCACCTGCTTTTTGTTTGAAGATTTATTGTGTACGAAAAACAGAAAAAAATTTCAAAAGAAACTAATTTTTTTGGATATTTTTTTAAAATAATTTTTTTTTATTGAATAGCTTAAATTCGCTATTTATATTCGCTAATCTGTTACATGAACAATTATATATTCTAGTTTCATTAATTCTAACTAAATCTACAAGAATGTATCTACACACATGTGCATCTTCATTACGAACACACGATTGCATTAATATTTAAATGTATTTATAAGAGTTGATTATAAGAAATAATTTATACGAGAGATTTATCTATCCGGTAACTAACTAGTTTTGCAGAATTGCAAATCTTGCTTCTGGTAGGTAGCTGGTTAAATGCTACCAGGTTCTTGCACACAGACAATAATATAAACATACTTGTTTTACTCTTCAATTATTAATAATTATTCACTTTTGGCTTTGATATGTAAGATTCAATGATATCAAATAAAAATCGATTTTTCTTTAACTATTATAATGCCAGATTTCAAACAATTTTCACTTCAACTTCTTCTTCAACTGCAAATTCAACTGCAACTTCAATATTAGCAAATCGCAATCAAGTTAGAATTCACTTAGAATTTAATAAACTAATGTTTAGTAAAATTTAGTTATATTTTTGTCATAAAGCAGTCTGTTCGACTCAAAAGTCAATTAGAATTTGAATATGTAATGTTAAGTAAAATTTTAATATTTTATTATAACAAAGTCGTTTCACATTATATTTAATATCTAAAATTCTACATATATGAAGTTAGAATGAACGTAGATTAGAATCAGAATCAATTTATAATTAAAA